CGTGAGACCAATGGAAAGATTCAGTGAAGTGGCAGGGTAGAATTTCAATACACAGAAAACAGTCATATTCCTTTACGCTAACTTAGGAAACTTAAAAATATTAAAAGCTTATCTGAAATTTCACTCTGTACATAAATTTGATAAATGTACAGTTAAGACTGATGAGGGAAAAAGAGATGAGGCAAATTATCCAAATGAAAAACGAGAAAGCCCTATCACTTCAGATCCAACAAACATTAAAAGAGTAATAAAGGAATGCAATGAACAAGAGAAGCCTTGGTGGCATATCGGGCTGCGCACTGTGTGGCTAACTACAAGGTCAGAGGTTGGAACCCACCAGGCGCTCCACAGAAGAAAGATGAGGCTGTCTACTCCTGTGAAGATTTAAACTCCCAGAAACCCAAAAGTGTAATTCTGCTCTGCCTACAGGGTCATTATGAGACGGAGTCACACTTCTGGCAGTGCGTTTTGGTATAATGAGCAAGTTTATGCAAATATGGACAAATTTCTTGACATCCTGTCAAATCTCACTCAAGAAGAAACAGATAAGCTGAACATCTAGTATCTATTAAAAAGCTAAGTCTATAGTTAGAATACTTGTGCAATTTATTGTTAATCCTTGTTGTTTTTTTAAAGTATATTACATCCTAAAAATTGCATAATTGCTCACACTAATATTAAGAAGCCCTGGTGGTGTGGTGGGTTAATCATAGGGTTTCTAATCAAAAGGTCAGCAGTTCAAACCCACCAGGGGCTCCACAGGAGAAAAAAAAGGCTTTCTACTCCTATAAAGATATACATCTTCAGAAACCCACAGGGGCAGCTCTACTCTGTTCTGTGAGTCAGCATTGATTCGATAATGATGGGTTACACAATATTTGATAGTATTTACATTCACATATAGATCATTTTAGCGTGACTGTTTTATGATAATTTAGTAGGCAAAAATTCAACTAAGTTTGAAATAAGGTATAATTTTATGCTACTTGTAAAATGAACACTTTTGCATGCTCACTCATTCATTGCCATTGAGTCAATCAATTCATGAAAGACTGCAGATAATAAAAATTCCTTACCAGAAAGAAAGGGTCTCTTCTGTTAAAATCACAATGAATTCAAAATAAAACCATATTTTCATTAAAAGTAAGCCACATCTGTTTTTAACCTATTTGTCATCATATTTTAAAACTTTAAGAGCAAAGAAATATCACTGACACAAATTAAAGAGCACGCAAATTAAAGAGCAGTATTATAAACTGGCTGAGTACTAACCTTGGCAACTGCACATCTAACAGCCATTGACCGGTCAGTCAAGAGGGACCTGGCATTCTTGTAAATATCACGATGAGAGGAAGCTGCAGCACCACCCAGTCCATTGAGAACTTTCTGCAAGCTCATTAAGATTTCACTCCGCCCTTGAGACTAAACATGTACATAAACCAAATCTCAAAAGAAGTGTTGCAAAACAAATGTCATATTTAAAAATGCACATACTAACATCTAGAAATTCCCTGAGCTTAATGATTTTATGTCTAGATTATAAATAATCCATAGTGAATAAACACTAAAAACTTAAGCACATATTCTAGAAAGTCCCTAAAAGATAAAACTAATTATTAAGTTCAATGAAATAAATAGATTTCTGAGAAATGAGATAATGTTAAATACATATATTCCAAAAATAAACAAATAAACTTCTACATGACATACTGAGGTGCAATAATATAAGAAAGCATCAATATCACATTCCAAGAGTCAAAATCTTCAGAATTTGAAAGATTAAGAAAAAGCAGTTGAGTAGCATAAGCCATCTTGAAGAAACACAAGGAAATATTCAACACATTTAAAAGCAATGGGACTCATACATATTTGAGGGTAAAGTGGAAGACTAGAATGCGATGTGCAACATACAATGAGGCATGCGATCACTTTAAATTACTTCGTCCCTTAAGAAGCGGAGAATTCCAGAGTGACAGAAGAAGGGAAGGGTATGAGCACATTTGTAACTGACGTTTCATTCTTGCCACAAGCAAAATCAGTTTTTTGTAAAACTTACCTCTGCGCTTTTCAGAGATTTCAGTAGATTATTTACTGTTTCTGGAAAAGCACTGCCTAACATTCTCCCCATTTTTTCATAAAATGCTCCCACACAAGCCACAGCAGCCCTAAGAGAAGCGATAATTTCATTGGTCACTCTCCAAGTTAATACAGTTGCATTACACTTTTCTCATCCTCAAAAGTCAATTTGTAT